CTTAGATCACGCGACGTGGTCGTGCATTTGAAAAGGAAAAAGAAAAAAAAAAAAAGGAAAAGAAATTCTCCCCTTTGAAGATCTGAAGGGGAAAACTCGCGCAAAAATTGAAATCGCACCCCTGATAGAACGCCACGTCAGGACAAACGAACGTTGCAACGTGCACGGTGGGCGTCGCGACGCTTACTGAACCGCAGCGTGGTGAATGTAACGTGATTCCGACACGCGACGACGGCTTTGACTCCTCTATTTTGCCTTTCAACCCCCCCAAGGATCGTGTTCGGGATCGCGTTTCCGATAATGAAGAGATTATTGTTGGCATGATTAACACAGTCCCTGCGTATGTACGACATTTACGCTGTAAAAACCGATAGTGACTGAAGAAATACGGAGAGGCATCATTACTTTCGTTGGCAATTGTGAAGGAACGAGTTGGGAAGGATTTAATCTGATATTGATATATTTTTTACAATTAATGCAATTAATGCTCTCTCTCTCTCTCTCTCTTTCTCTCTCTTCGTATTAACATTTGTGATAAAATGAGATAAAAAAGGTATTAGTTTAGAAAAAATGAGAATATTTTAAAAAGTTGCAGTAATGCGTGATTATATTTACGTCGAGGTACGCTGCATAAGGTAATAAGATAGTGTGAAAAATAATAGGATATAATAAGTCGGATTACAACACTGTCAAGACACCTATCCGAGAACTAGTAAATAGATATGACTATAAAGTCTTCTTCGAATCATTCTAAGGTCATCTTAGAATCCATCTTAAATCGTTATAAGCTCCTAATAGCCAATGTCAGTCTAGAAATATAAACTGTTAATTAAATATTTCCAAGCTCGAGGATATCCACCTTGAAATCCAGCATTATGATGTTTCTTTCAAAACATCATGTAAGGATCGTGAAGAATTTCGATTTCATGATCACAAGTTGAAGGACTTCGATCTCTGTAACAGCTCTCAAGGTTTTAAAATACCAGAATAGTAGAAATTGAATCTCTCAAAATTTTGGAGAATAATGCTTTTGCATATATTATAAATAAATAAATAATAACTTTTATAGAGACATAAGATATTTTTATTACATAAATAAGAGTATAAGTCATTAAATAATTATGATGTATTTTAAAAACATTTTTATTACCTCAATGTTACAAGTTTTGACATTATTTCTTGAAAAGTATAAACGATATAAAGATATTTAAAAAAACATTTGCACTTGCTTATATTATTGTAATATAATATACAACCATGACATTTTCTTATATTTACAATATTACTTGTTTCCACTTAAAATCATATTTATAACAATTACAAAATTAAGTTTAGCTAACACACAAGTGAGCATATATTATGAATTTGCAAATGATTATTTTATGAAATAAATAAGATGATACTGTTGAAAATGTATTAATACTTTAAAAATACAAGGAACTATTATTCGAGTATTTATACATGTACACAATAATTCAATTTCTTTTTAATTTTTATATTAAATAACAATTATTAATGATTATTTATTAAATTTCATTTATTTATTAAATCATAATTTGCTTGTGAATTCATTAAAATTTCGTAAAATATAAATTTTAAAAAAAATTTAACAAATTGTGTAATATGTAAAATATTCATTACGATTTCTTTCACAGGGGTATATTGAAGTCTATTTGAGATAACAATAATGTCATAAAAAATAAATTTTTAGTATAACAATGTTAGCGAATTAATTTTTTAAAACTTATGTATCTATTCTCCAAACATATTTCCAGTCAAACGTTACGTGCTTTATTAATTGTCATAATGAATGTTCATTTCGTTTCTCTTCAATTTCAGAAACACGCTCGCTTAAAGCTTGACCCATTTTTATTGTTTGACCTACTTTCACGCGAAATTTAAAATCTTTTGGAGCCTCAAATAATAACACAATTGTAGATCCCATTCTAAATTCACCAAATAATTCTCCTTTATTTAGATGTGTACAACCCAAATTAGCATCTTTCCAGCGCTTTGCGTCAGGCCATTTAAAAGCGTTTGTATGTAAATCTTTATCACAGTAAACTTTTATAGAACCTACATTTGTAGCCCCAACTGCACTATAAGCCATAAAACCACTTGCCCATTTACCAATATATATTACACGTTCATTTAATGAAAATAAATCTGGTAGATATTGCGCTATTTTGGGATTAACACTTAAGAGTTTCCCTGAAATAAAAAAAGATATTCTATCAGTTTATACATAATCAATTCACGTAAATTGATAGCAAAATATATAAAAATAATAAACCTTGAAAATGTCTACGAAATTTTATTTCCCAATCGCTTGAACTATGAAATCTATGATAGTTTCCTGGAGCAAGATAAACTGTTAGTTGATAGAGCTGATTCATTGGATCTTTTAAAAGAGATTTTATATAAACATCATCATCTTCCTTTGAAAATTTAGGGTGATCAGAAGAAGATACATTTATATCACCTAAGAAGTGCCTAAGATTATATGTAACACCCTTTACTTGTTGTACACGACATGAAGTCACTGGTCCAAAATATAATATTTTCCCATCAGCTGGTGAAACCTATGACAAATTTACATATAACATTATATTACTTTATTTAAATTACCAAATTAAATAATAATTTACAGTAAAAACTATATACATACTATATTTGTGGTTTTATCAATAGGTCTTGTACCATATTTCAGCGGTCTAACAAAAAAGTCAGAAAGACTTGGAAAATCTGATAATTCTATATCAATTTCATCTAAATTAACATTAAATGCTCTTGCATAAAATCCATATAAGGTGGGTCTTAAACTAACCGGCAATTCCAAATTGGCAAGCCAACCCCATATTTTACTTATTATTCGAAATGGTAAAAAATAGTAACATTTTACCTATAGAGTATTCATAAATATTTAATTTTAATTGCAGAACTTTTTGGCTTATACGTAATCCTTAAATCAACTTTCATTCAATTCAGATATAATAAATCGCACAATTGTTATAATAAAAATCTGTACCACAAAAACATTGATCGAGTCATACACATTGCTGTCCTCAGTTGTATATTGATATTTTTCCAAATGTCTCCATTGTATTGCTGTTAATAATGATACTCCTATTCCAAAAGAAATAAACCACTTTCTCCGTTTCACAAATGAGTACCAAGAATTGTTTTTATATTGATTTGTACTTATATTTGAAGTATATGTTCTTGAGAAACTTTGGTTTATTAAAGTTTTGAAATTCCTTTTTGTATATATATTTATACAATGTTTACAAGTACTTTTCCTACAAGAACATATCAATAACATGAAGTATTAAGTAGTTAATTAAGTCAATGATAGAACTTAAAGACCTATACAAACCTCACATCTTGAATTAAGCGACAAATCTTATAACTCATCTTGAAAATAAATTTTATTACATAGAGGTATATGTAAACTTTCTTGTATTCTTCTTACATTAGATTAACATAAATTATGTACAGATATCTACAAAAATACATATTTATAAATAACAATATATTTTTAAATATATATTTTAATTAAATATGTACATTAATCATTTTGAAATATATTTATAATGTTAATAACTTACAAGATATTGTCAATTAGATGTTTTTACACATATGTACACCAAAGGTAATAACAACGTGACAATAATTATTATAAAAATTTGAAAAAAAAAATAAATTAGAACAAAAGGTTTTCTTACTACAAACACAGATAGACGAGGCCTACAAACTTGTATAGCTAACTGTTTGTATATCAAACGCCATCTAGCAGTTCTACCATAAATTATATCTTTTTTATTCTTATTCTACTTAAATGCAAAAAATATTATTAAATATTATTAAAATTAAATTGTAATTAAAATGTATTACAGCAAATTGTAGAAAATAATAATTAATACAAATTATTTGCACACTTTACGATCATAGATATTACATATTATTATTATGAATCATTTTATTATTATATAATCTATTATATATTATTATTATACAATTTATACAATAATATAGATCTGTAATATATATATATAATATTTATTACGTTATGTGATATGTATAATAAAATATAATTTATTATATATCTATTATATAGTAGACTATAATATGTATATATAAAATATTTATAATATATAATTTATAATATGATTATTTTAATAGAGAAATATCTTGTTGGGTCTAAGTACAAACGTACTTTCATTCATTCATTTTGTTTCACTAATATTTACATTAATATTTTTACAAATTTTAAAATTCTTAATGCCATAAAACATTTAATCTAAATTATATAACTTCTACATATCATTTACTTTTACATCTGCAGTTTATTTATTTATAAATAATTGATTAATCGAATGTAAATGTAAATTCATATTAAAAAATATAATTAAAAATATAATTAAAAAATGATACATAGATTGATAATTATTTTACAATATTACTTTTATATTTACTTTTATATTTTACACTCCCACTTAAA